ACTGGCCTTAGTACCCACTCGTTGACTTCAATCTCCCTCCCCCATATTGGACTCGGGATAGCCCCCACCTTGGCCTCAGGACCCCACGCCATTGGCGTCACGATAGCCCCCACCTTGGCTTCAGGGCCCCACGCCATTCCTCAGGATCTCCCCCACCTTGGCCTCAGGATAGCCCCCACCTTGGCCTCAGGATCCCACCCCGTTGGCCTCAGGACGCACTCCCCTTTCAGCCCCTGTCCCTCTGCCCCCGGCCCAGCCTCTTACCGGTACAGCCTCTTGGTGTGGAGGAGCTTGGCGTCGGGCTCGGCTTCGGCCTGGGCCTGGGCCTGGGCCTCGGCCTCAGCCTCGGGTTCGGCAGCGGCTCCTGCTGGGGTATCGGCGAGCTCCGGGTGGCTCATGGTTCTGGATTTCTCCACCCACCCTCTTCCCCCGGGTCGTCTCCCTCCCTTCGCCCCCACCCCACCCCCCGGGGCCGCTCCCCCTCAAACAGGCTCCGGGCCCGAGCCCTCGGCCGCCATCAGCCGCAAATCTCGCGAGATCGTCCCGGAGCCCTCCCCTTGACCTCTCTCCCATGACCCCTGACCTCAACGGCCGGCCCAGCGCGCACGTCCCCGCCCCTAACAACGGTCTGAGCCCCGCCCCTTGATGACAGACGGTCCCCCCCGCCCCTTGATGATGACGGGGCCCCGCCCCCTAACAACCACCTGGGGTCCCCAGCAACGGATTGGCCCCGCCCCCTGGCAACGGTCTTAGCCCTGCCCTTTGACAACAGCCTGACCCCTGACCCCTCTCACAAACCCGAGAGGTCCTTCCCTCTGGCAATACCCTGACCTGTGACCCCCTCACACTCCCACTGACCCTTGCCCCCTGACAACAGCCTAATCCTTGAGCCCTTGCTTCTGACAGCCCCGTCTCCCCCTGCCCCCGACAAAACCCTAACCCCCTCCCTCGCTCCCAACCTACCCCAAATCCCTCAACACCCCTCTTCAGGTCCAAAACGCTTCCCCTTATACACCAAACACCTTCCCGATCACCAACTGTCACTTCACTTTCAGTATCAACCAAATCCCTCCACACCCATCCTATCTCTGTGACCTCGAATCCCTACACCCCTCCCTAACTCTGTAACCCCCACCAGCCCATGCACCGCTCCCTATCACAGTAACCTCCTCCAGCCCTTGCACCCCTCCCTATCTCTGTCACCTCATCCAACCCCGACACCCCTCCCTAACTCTGTAACCCCCACCAGCCCCTGCACTGCTTCCTGTCTCTGTAACCCCCACCAAGCCCTACACTGCTCCCTGTCGCAGTCACCTCCTCCAGCCCCTACACAGTTCCCTATCTCTGCCACCTCCTGTAGCCCCACTCACCCTACAAGTTCCCTGCTCCCTCCAATTCTGACCTCCCCTGCATCCCCCAACTGCTCCTTCACCACCCCCCCCGCCCCCAGTCGTGGGTGTGTCTTCATCTGCCTGGGGCACTTTGCAACGAGTTACCTGCCTAAACCATATCATTTGACCGATTTTCATTTCCATGACATGTGTCTGACATCTCCCTATGTGGCTTCAGGAGGGTGGGGTGGTGTCCGAGTTTGTCTGATATCACTCCCTCTGAGGTGACTGAATGCATTTTATTACATTGACGGCGCTACAGAAATGCAGCATGTGGTTCAAGTGCAACAGCTTTGGCTCGAGTCATGCACATGGAACGGTTTCCACGGGGATGGTGGTCAGTCACCATGGATACGCAGATTGGAATGCGATTGGCAAATGAACCAGGGTAAGCATGAGAAAATATTTATTTTCACAGGGAGCTGTTTGGATCTAGAATGCACTGCCGGGTGTGTTTTGGCTCTGTGTTTGAGAAATTTAACAGTCTCAAGCCAGGACTGGCAAATAAATGTAGATTCTATCTCAAGATCCGAAACAGGAATTCTCAACAGGCATATCGATAATGTCACTTTACTCATAATCCAGAACTTACTATTAACACCTATCTTGCATCTCTATCACTCCACTACTATTATGAGAATTCCCTCAGTCTTTTGCTCTGGGCCCCTTCCCATCCTTCTCCTTTGTCAACAGCTCGACATTTTCCGGCTCTGAGGAAGAGTCATGTCGGACTTGAAATGTCAACTCGGTTTCTCTCTCCACAGACCTGTCGTGTTTCTCCAGCGCTTGCTGTTTTTAATTTCAGATTTCTAGCATCCACAGTACAATGTCATTATTTGCTTAACAGACAGCCTTTTTACAAGAAGGCACAGCGAGCCCCATCCTTCACAATGCAACAGGGCATTCAGAAGACAGGATCTGGGGAGTCGCAGGTAGATCGGATGGTGAAGAAGGCATTTGGTATGCTTGCCTTTATTGGTCAGTGCATTGAGTACAGGAGTTAGGAGGTCATGTTGCGGCTGTACAGGACATTGGTTCGGCCATTTTTGGAGAATTGCTTGCAATTCTGGTCTCCCCTCTACAGGAAGGATGTTGTAAAACTGGAAAGGGTTCAGAAAAAAATTACAAGGATGTTGCCAGAAAGTTTGAGCTATAGAGAGAGGCTGATTAGGCTGGAGCTATTTTCCCTGGAGCATCAGAGTCTAAAGGTTGCCCTTATAGAGGTTTATAAAATCATGAGGGGCATGGAAAGGGTAAATAGCCGAGGTCTTTTCCCTGGGGTGGGGGAGTTCAAAACTAGAGGGGCATAGGTTTAAGATGAGAGGGGAACGATATAAAAGGGACTTTTTCATGCAGAGGGTGGTGTGTGTAAGTCTCTGTAGAAGTGTACTAGGAGTAAGATGATTACCTGAGAGTGGAATTTATTAAGAGACCAAAGGGGCAACCTGGGTGAGGTCTCAAATATTTCTCAACTGTATTTGCAGAGGAGAAAGACATTGAGGTAAACACAATTAAGAGAAGCATAGATAATGTGAATCTCTTTCCCAGGCAGACATATCAAAGAGCTGAATGCATAGGTTTAAGGTGAGGAGCAAGCAGCTTAGATGAGATTGGAGGGGAAAAGAAATTTGCACCCAGGGGGTGGTAGAAATATGGAACTGACGGCCTGAAAGGGTGGAGAAGGTAGAAACACTCAACATCTAAGCATCTGGATGAGTGCTTAAAATACCAGGGCATAGGTTATGGCCAAAGTGCAGATAAATGGGATTAGTGTAGTTTGATGTTTTGGTTATCACAGACATGGTGGGCCAAAGGGCCTGTTTCTATGCTGTGTGATTGATTGAGTGTATGGAACAAGAGGAAGTGGTGGAGGCTGGTACAATTACAATATTTAAAAGGCATCTGGATGAGATAGTAGGAACTGCAGATGTTGGAGAATCAGTGACAACAAGGTGCAGGGCTGGATGAACATAGCAGACCAAGCAGCATCATAGGAGCAGAAAGGCTCTGCTCCTATGATGCTGCTTGGCCTGCTGTGTTCATCCAGCCCTGCACCTTGTTGTCTTGGATGGGTACATGAATAGGAAGGGTTTAGAGGCATATGGGCCAAATGGTGGCAAATGGGATTAGATTTACATAGGATATCTGGTCGTTATGGACAAGTTGGACTGAAGGGACTGTTTCTGTGCTGCACATCCCTATGAACTCGATGAATCTCTGAGCTGAGGATTTAGGGTCTCGACGCCACTGTGAAGTTTCGACACTGCTGTGCACTTGCTCAGAAGCCAATCTCATTCCTCCATGTCCACCAGCTGTGATGAGTTTCTCTCCCCCCAAACCCCTAACTGAGTTATCTCAAACAGGAAACATGATGGGAGAAAAAATAACGAGACCCATGTTGGCATTTTCCCCATTTCAAGAATACAGGGGCACAGGATACCCTGGACTGTGTGTAGCAACGTGTACTAGCCTGGGTCCAAACGCTGGTGTACTGTGAAAGTCACATTCAATGAACCATTCACTAAATACCCCAGCATTACAGGTAATGGAATCTCAAACTCTGGAGGAAGCCAGTTCAAACGTTAGCGGGACAAAGCCAAGCATTTCAAAATCAGTTGCTCAACTATCAATGCTCCATTCTCTACTCATTACGAACTACCCAGGGATTAATCCATGTATATACATACACAACACCAGACCCGAAACGTTAACTTTGTTTTTCCTTCACAGATGCTGCCGGACCTGCTGAGCTTTTCCAGCAACTTTGTTTTTGTTCCTGATTTACAGCATCCGCAGTTCTTTCGGTTTTTATTGATCCATATATCCTTTTTTTGAAATTATTTCTAATCTGTGCCCACGTCATAGAGTCACGTAATGTACAGCATGGAATCAGACCCTTCAGTCCAACTCGTCCATGCTGACCAGATATCCTAAATTAATCTAGTCCCATTCAGAGTCTTAGAGATGTACAGTACGTGACAGACCCTTTGGTCCAACTCGTCCATGCTAACATCCTAAATTTATCTAGTCCCATTTGCCAGCATTTAGCCCATATCCCTCTAAACCCTTCCCATTCATGTACCCATCCAGACTCCTTTTAAATGTTGTAACTGTACCAGCCTCCACCACTTCCTCTGGCAGCTCGTTCCATACACGTACCACCCTCTGCATGAAAAAGTTATTCCTTGGGTCCTTTTTAAATCTTTCCCCTCTCACCTTAAACCTGTACCCTCTAGTTTTGGACTCCCCTAGCCTGGGGAAAAGACCTTGTCTATTCACCCTATCCATGCCCCTCATAATTTTATGAACCTCCATAAGGTCACCCCTCAACCTCCAATGCTCCAGGGAAAATAGCCCCAACCTATCCAGCCTCTCCCTACATCTCAAACCCTCCAACCCCGGCAACATCCTTGTGAACCCTTTTGTGAACCCTTTCAAGTTTCACAATGGCTTTCCTATAGCAAGGAGACCAGAATTGAACGCAGTTTCCCAAAAGTGGCCTAACCAACGTATGTTAACGTTTTTTTTATTGTATTCAGTAAGTGATAAATTCACTCCTTTTTAACTCAAGAAACTTCAATTAAATTGAGTCCTTTTAAGACTAAATTCCTTTGGTCCATGAGAAATGGATCCACAAAGAAAGGGATCATTTTTAAATTAACTCTGTGGCCACCAGCAATAGGGGTGAGTGAAGATATGCCCGTTTATCCATCCACACCTAGGAGTTTCATGATTTTGAGGTCTCCAACCTGGAACTGAAACATATTAGGAAACCTCTCGTATGGTTGGGATTTTGCACTAGAACATAGAACTGTGTAGCACAGGAATGGGCCCTTTGATCCTCAATGTTGTACCAAATATGACACCAAATTAAACTAATCCCTTCTGCCTGCCCTTGGCCCATATCCATCCATTCCTTGCATATTCATGTGCTTAACTAAAAGCCCCTTAAATGCCCCTATCGTTATGTGTCTCCACCACTACCCCTGGCAGCATGTTCCAGACTCCGACCACGCTATGTGTAAAAAAACTTGTCTCTCACTTCTTCTTTAAACTGTCCCCCTCTCACCTTAAATGTATGCCCCCTACTATTGGATATTTCAACTCTGGGAAAGTGATTCTAACTGTCAACCCTATCTATGCAACTCATAATTTTATAGACTTCCATCAAGTCTCCCCTTAGCTTCTGCCGCTCCAGAGAAAACAACCCGAGTTTTTCTGGCCTCTCCTTATAGCTCATACCCTCTCATCCAGGCAGCATCCTGGTAAACATCTTCTGCACCCTCTCCAAAGCCTCCACATAACTTCCTGTAATGTGGCAACCAGAATTGAATGCAATATTCTTAAGTACAGCCTAACCAAAGTTTTATAAAGTTGCAACTTTATAAACATCCTGACTCTTGTACTCAATTCCCTGACCAATAAAGGCAAGCGTGCCATATGCCTTCTTTACCACCTATCTACTTGCGCAGCCACTTTCAGGGAGCGATGGACTTGACCCCCAGGATCCCTCTGTCACTAGTCATATGTTCTACATCCTGGTTACTTTCTCATTACCGTACTGTCTCAAAATTGATACCACAAATACGGACATAGAGCGCAGAAACAGACTCTTCGGCCCAACTCGTCCGTGCTGACCAGGTTTTCTAAACTGAACCAGTCCCATTTTCCAGCATTTAGCCCATACCCCTCTAAACCCTTCCTATTCATGTACCCATCCAGACGCCTTTTAAATGGTGTAATTGTACCAGCCTCCACCACTTCCTCTGGCAGCTCGTTCCATCCACGCACCACCCTCTGCGTGAAAAAGTTACCCCTTAGGTCCCTTTTAAATCTTTCCCCTCTCACCTTAAACCTATGCCCTCTAGTTTTGAGTTCCCCTACCCTGGCAGAAAAGACCTTGGCTATTCACCCTATCCATGCTCCTCATGACTGTATAAACCTCTATAAGGTCATCCCTCAGCCTGCGACTCTCCAGGGAAAATAGCCCCAGCCTCTCCCCCAACCCTGGCAACATCCTTGTCAATCTTTCCTGAACCCTTTCAAATTTAACAACATCCTTCCTATAGCAAGGAGACCAGAACTGAACGCAGTATTCCAAAAGTATCCTAACCAATGTCCTGTACAGCTGCAACATGACCTCCCAACTCCTATACTCAATGCACTCTCCAATAAAGCAGTTTGGGAATAAGTGTCTGATGATGACCAGGAAACCATTGCTGGTTCTGAAGAAGGGTGCTAGACCCGAAACTTTAACTCTGCTTTCTCTCTCCACGATGCTGCAAGACCTGCTAAGCTTCTCCAGCAATTTATGGGTTTTTTTCCTGATTTCCAGCATCCACAGTTCTTTGTTTTTGTAAAAGAAAATGGGTTTCTCCCTATTAACTC